TAAAAATTTAATGTATACTTTTTTTTCTAAATAAGTTAATAAAGTACAACTAGATCCATTAAAAGAATTAATTATAACTAAAGTTTTAAACCAGGATGAGTAATAGATAGAAATATTTAGTTTATATGTTACTTAATGAATCAATGTATTGCTAATTAAATTACATGAATTAGTATAAGTAAAATATATTTTAATTTATATATATATATATATATATTAATTATGTTTATCAAATATATAAACATTTGAGCGATTTAGTAGACAAACAAATGGTATTATGATGAGCACCAGGGCTCAAATCCTACCAAGAACTGTAAGGAATTGGTGGGACTACTTACACAACCGATTTTTGGTCTGAACTGGTATTTAAAATCATGGTTATAACTTATACTCCTTCTAAAAAAAGAAGTGGATGAATATTAGTTTGTTATCCTACAAGCATTAGTTAACTTAGTGCATTTTAAAATTAAATTGAAATTATAATTTGTTAATTTAATCCAACTAAAAAATAAGTGAATACAAATTAAAAAACTCCTATAAATTATATTCAAAATTTATATAACAAATATTTTTAAATATGTAAATTATATTTTAGATTAATAATATATTTTTAATTATTGATAATTTATTTTAAAATATAAATAAATATGATAAATAAAAACTAAAATAGATAAGAAGTTAAAATAATCTTTAAAAATCCTCTCATATAATAAAAGCATCTAAAAACACTCTCATTTAAAAGAAGTCTATGAAACACTTTTATACAAAATAATTGTTCATGTTTAATATATTGGAGGTGGATGTGTTTAGTTAATGTTTATTTCAATGCATTATGTTAAATCATTAATTGTTGCATCTTAACATATCAATAACTCTTATTTTTTTCTTATTTTATGATCATATTCTTTAATAAAACTCACTTTTTGGTTAACTATGTTGTAGGTAGGTAAAAGTATGAAGAATAAGGGAAATTGGAGCAAATGAGGCCAAGAAAGACTAATTTTGGAGTTGAAGCATTCAATGTGATCATGCTTAGTTGCACGTCCTTGAAGCACACCCTGATGCAAACAAGTATGGTTGTGCTTCATTGTGAGCACCCCTTGGATAGACCATGTTCACTCGTGCCAAACATAAAGCATGTTCCAAGTTAGAATTAATACAAATATGCTAAAGAAACACGATCATGCGTAGCCAAATACATACCCAAATCTTGATCAAGCACACCCATGCTAAGTAAGCACCACCATGCTATTTAAACAACACAATCATGCTTAAGGTGTTGCCATATGTAACACTATGTTATGACTATTGTTTATTTAATTATATTATTATTTAATTGGATATTTGTTTATATGTTGTTTTAGTGCTTTAAAACTTCAAGGATTAAATAATCCTGATAAGTTTAATTGTTAGAAAGTTGTTTTGAGTTGGCTTAAAGTTTAACGAGTTTAGGAGAAGATATGTAAGATTTTCTTAAAACTTGATTTTCATAAGTTCATTTTCTTAAGAATTCTAGAAAGATTTTAGAGGGATAAACTCTATTGTCAAATGAGTTTTTTCTTCTTTCTAACTTCACTAGAGAGCTCTGATCCTTCCTTAAAGCACCTTTTTGTAGGAGTTGAGTTGTGATTTGAGACTTAGAAGTTGAGAATCGTAGTTTGGTGTCATCATACGATGGGAGCCTAAAAGACCACATTCTCCATTTTCTTCCTCTTTTCTTTGAGACTTGAGGTAAGGAAAACTTGTAGATTGATCTTGTGGTGTTGCATGTATGTTGATTGTTACTTGAATTCATACATTTGTGGTTGTGTTGTTGCATTGAGGAGTGAAGAACCTTGTTGTTTGGTTCTTTGGTTGTTTGGAGAAGGGAATTGATGATTTGTGAACGTTTGAGATTGCATGTTGTAATTTTCTTGAAATCTAAGCAGCATATGGTTGTGTATTGCGTTGTGAATGTATGAGAAGTATGTTGTTTTGTAGTATTGTGTTGTGATATGCATAGGACATGTTATAGTGTTGAATTATGTTGATAAGATGCATGATGATGAGTTGTGTTGGGAACTTAGGACTAAAGGAGTGGTGTTGTTTTAAAAAGTTGAAATGTTTCATAGTGTGTATATGTGTTGTAGTGTTTTAAGAGTCAAATTGTTGAAAACATTTATTGAGTAT